CAGGGAATCCAACACTTTCTTATGCCTGTAGTTACTTGTGCTATGTGGCATGCTCACATATAAGTCGACATACACATAAATAAATTATAAAAAGAAAATTTGTTTAAAATCTCCCAGATGGACCAGGATTTTCTGTAACTTGGGATTTGAATGTATTATGCAAATAAATTTAACCTGGGATGCTTAGTGATTTCGATTAATTTTGACAAAGTGAGGATGATAGTGTTGTTTATACAGATCAGAAAACTGACCACATTGCATCAATAGAAAGTCACAGTTTGTTTATATTCTCACCCTGTTAATATTATTTTTGTTTGTCTTCTGGTCATGGTCATGGCATATGCATGTACAAACAGCCTCCTCTTTCAATGTACTCACCATGAAGCCAGAGCCATGCTGTGACTTCCTCCAGAAAGTCAGCCAGCCACCATAGAAAGGGGTGAGACCACTGAGCAGGGAGAATGGTACAAAGTCCACTCACTGCCAGAGCTGAGGCAGGAAGAACGCCGGCCAGCCACACGGTCTGGTTTGTTCTGCTCTATCCCAGTTCAGCCTGTGACTGTTGCAGAGGGTGTCTCACTGAGCCGCCTTGGTGTTCTGCAGAGTCTGCTGCCCTCCAGCCAGGATAACTGACACTGAAGTGGACATCTCCTGCAGGTTCTAGAACTACAAGGCTGGCCCAGCTGCATGGGTAGGTGGTGTTCAAGGAAACTACTGGCAATAGCTTCCAGAGTGATGAGTCTTATAGACCCTGATCCAGGCAGTACTCTGCTGAGGATTCAAAGGCTAATGTGAAAAACGAGATATAGAAAGCAGTGGAAAGATTGACAGCTGACACTAAGCAGCAAAACCAGAAGCATGTAGGCCTCTCAGTGAGACACACTTGACCTCCAAAAATGACTAAGCTTGCAGATAGTGGCTGCTTCGGCAGGTATTTGGATGCTGACTCTAACTACAAAGGAAGAATAGCAGTAATCGTAGGAACATATAATTTCACCAAGGACTCCTTACATAGTGGCTGTGTTCTACCCAAATCCATTCCCAGACCTGTATATGCTGGTGTGCTGTGGTCACACAGGACTGGCAGCTTTTGAGTCCTTCCCTTGCCCTCGTGGTCTTTACTGTTCCTCCAGACAAATGGTGGGAGAATACATGGTTGTGTGTGTTTGGGGGTGGGGAGGATTTACCAGCAATCAAAATCAAATTAAAATAATGAGAAGTTGATTTCACTTATCTCATGAGGAAAAAATAATTATAAGCAGAGCCAAGACAGTTCTGCAAGCCCATCTGTCCTCCACATACCAGGTGGAATTATAAATCGGAGTGGCTTATCTAGGGTGGATTTGTCAGCATGCCCCATGATCTACTCATTCCTTTTATAAGAATTTATTCTCAATGATCTGCGACTTATATCAAGTGCTTGTGGACAAAGTGTTCCTCAAAGTGTGTTAGGACAGAATCCATGTAGTGGTCAGCACTGGTCAGATCACATGTTTATTATAGAATACAGTTTATCTATCACAATTGAAGTCTGGTGGGAATTTACCTTACCATGGAAGAATTAAAATGCAGTGGCTATGGACTTGGTGGTGTAGACCTATAACCCCTGCACTTGAGAGGAAGAGGCATAAGGATCAGGAATTCAAGGCCAGCCTGTGCTACCTGGTATCTTGCATCAACAAATTAATAATCAAACAATAGCAAAATCTCTAATGATGAATAAAACAGAATACAGTGGCTAATGGACAGGGCTTTCTCATTTCATTTCTCTTGTTAAAATTATTTCCCAGATTCTTACAAAGGCTCTGATCGGGAAAGTTGATTAACCTTTCCGTGCCCTGGCTTTCTTACCTGCCCAAGGGGGAAGTACTGGTGGTTGTAAAGTTTAAATAAGATAACTGTTTGGCACACTTGGTCCTCTGTATTGCACAGCCTAACTGTCTGATAAATGTCAGTGTCAAGTGACTTCTATGCCTCAGTTTCTTCCTTTATAAAGTAGGGATGACAGCCATTCCTCTTTGAAGCTTTGGTAGTGTGTGTGAACACTTGGTGGACCTGGCAGACAGCAGCCAAAGAACCATCCCACCTGCTGCTTGTATCCCAAGCCTTAGGGAAGATAAATGCACATGGGTCAGATGCCTGGACAGCTAAGGCTGCTTGAAACCTCAGGTCCTCACACACAGCCTTGGGGACGATGACTAGTCATGTCTGGGTTTGGTCCTTGTGCACATTCTTCCAACATTCATTTCAACAACATTCATTTAAGTTACTTTGTTAATTTATATTTTAAAAACAGTGCCTTTAGAGGGGAAACATTCTTCTGTCTGGCTAATCAGAGCAGCTGAGTTCCCTGAGCGTCTCACAGGTTTTCCTGTACTGTGCCCAGCTCTGGTCATCTGTGGGGGGCATCTGAGTGCTGTGCTCAGCATGGGAGTGCTGCCTTGTTCCTTTCTTCTGCTGCATTGGAACTGTGATGTAAATACCTGGATGCAGGCTGGGGTCATTTGGGAAGATTTGAAATATATGATGTTGAATTCTTCCATGGACCAATCAGTTCCACACATATGGAGGTGGGGCCTTGGTAGTTTAGGGTTTGGGGGCATTTTAAATGTATTTCTATTATTTTATGCATATGTATGAGGACCTGAGTATATGTATGTGTACCGTGTGCATGCAGGTGCCCACAAAGGCCAGAAGAGGGCATTGAATCCTCTGCAACTGGAGTTACAGACAGCGATAAGCTACCACATGGGTATTGGAAACTGAACCTGGGTCCTACAAGAGCAGCAAATGTTCTGAACCACTGAACCATCTCTCCAACTCCCACTGGTAGTTTTTATAAAGGCTTCCAAGGAAACATGTATGCAGTGAAAACTCCTCACTTGCTCACTTAGAAGTGTTTTCCAAATTGTCTGAGGATTAAGAGCCTCTGGGAGGAGGATGAGGAGGTAGCTCAGTAGCTAAAGCACTTGCTTTGCAAGCTTGAGAAATAGAGTTCAGATCCCTAGTACTCAAGAAAATGCCATGTGGCTGTGGTGGACCACTTGTAAGGCTTGAAAGACTGAGAAGCTACCTGGAGCTAACTGGCTGGCAAGACTAGCTGCATGTGCAAGCTCTGGGTTTGATTAGGAGACCCTGCACCAATGAGTAAGGTATGGGAGAGCAATGGCAGATGATTTCCAACATCAACCTTGGTCCCCCCATATGCATGCACATACGTATGCACCCTATGTGTTCACACATACATGTTCTCTCTCTCTCTCTCTCTCTCTCTCTCTCTCTCTCTCTCTCTCTCTCTCTCTCTCTCTCTCACACACACACACACACACACACACACACACACACACACACACACACCAGAAGAACATACAGAAGGCTGAATCAGAACAAGATCTACCAAATCTGAGCTTTCACAAGGAGAGACTTGTTAATATGCATATAGACTTGTGTCATTTAAAGGTGGACCATATTCTGAGAGGCACATCATTAGTTGATTTTTGGCATTGTGAAAATCTAATAGGTAGTAGGAGACATTGACTCTTGATGAAGCCAAGAAATCAGATGATACAAAATGCTGAGGCTGCCCCCAGCATAATCCAGCCAGAAGTACACTTTAATAATAAATAAATAAATAAATGCTTGTTTATTATCACATATATCCATAATTGTACCTGTTGTGCCTTTGTGAGACTCAGGCAGAAGGCACGCTGACATCAGCATCACCATGAAAACACAAGTAATGGGTTGCACCATAGTGTTGCCATAGCTATAATGTCATTAGGTTATAGGGTTTCCTACTCTATTATAATCTTCAGGACCACTGTCATATATGTAGTCTGTCATTGACTGAAACATGGTTTTCAGTGGGGCATGACTGTTTAGCATACCTGTGGTGATTCTCACTATCCGAGAAGTATGGGAACTGCCAGAGCTGTGGTTCCTGGAAGCACTGGGGGACCTTGCAGTTGTTTTGATTTCTGGACACCCTCAAGGTCCCAGATTCTAACACATCTAAGATACTCCTGGGCACTAGGATTTTAAAATCCCCTGGCTTTAAATGTATAATCCCCAGCAAAGTAAGTTTACAAGACTTACAAGATCATCACCCTGTAGAAACTTAACCCATGTATAGTATGGTACCCTACCCAGTTGCACTGAGCTTGACTGGGAATGGGACCCTGGGACCTGGCAGTGTGCCTCATAGGTCTCCTTCAGTGGTTCTCACATGTGCTATAGTGCAGTGCTTCAAAGAACCGACTCCTTCAGACTGCTCAGTTGATCTGGGCCATGGCTGGCCTGTGCTGCAGGTGTCCTAGGACTACTCAGGGAGAACACTACCCTCTAGGGTGCTCCCTTAATTCAAGTGTTTTGAAGTTGTGAGGTTTGTGTCCACTCTAGTACATCCAGCATCCTTAGTGTTCCTGTGGCTAGCTTGCTGCTACCACTTGGCCCTTGATGACAACACACAGGCTGTCTTCCAATCATGACTGGTGGGACTTGTTTTCTGTATAGTTGGCAAAGTCCTGTGACTGCGGACTGTCTTAATCACTGTTTTATTGCTGTGAAGAGATACCATGACTCTTAAGAAAGAAAGCATTTAATTGGGGACTTGCTTACAGTTTCAGAGGTTTAGTCTATTATCATTATGGCAAGGGAGCATGCTGGCAAGCTGGCACTGGAGCAGTGACTGAGAGCTACACCCTGATCCATAGGCAAAGAGAGACTGAGCTAGTCATGGCTTTGAAACCTTAAAGCCTACTCCCAGTGACACACTTCCCCCGACAAGGCCACACTTCTTAATTCTTTAAATTGTTTCACATAGCCCCACTACCTGGTGACTAAGCATTAAATTACATGAACCCATGGAGGTCTTTCTTATTCAAATTATCACAGGACCAATTTTTCAAAGGTGGTAACCCAAGTCTGATCTTGAGCATCCATCATTGAAGTCTACAAGGGTGTCTTTAGCCTCATATAACATCTGTTTCTCTGTTTTGCAGGTTTTTACATCAGCCCTCCTTAGCATGGTCCTCTCAGCCCCATACTGATAGCGACCACACCTATAGAAGCAGAGGAAGGCAGGAGGGCAGTGGCTTGCTGAGTCCCAGGGACCAGGAAGAGCTGGAGATCAGAGGAATGGCTCAGGCCCACAGTCTGCCCATCCATGTGAGAGAGAGTCTATGGGAAGTTGCAGGAAGGACAGAGCATGTGATAAAGAAGGCTGTTTGGGAAGAAGATCTGAGGATGCCTGCCCCTGTTAAGTGGCAGAATGTGAGCTTGGAAAGCTGGAAGCAGCCAAGGAAGTTAGGAAGGCAAGTGTCCGATGGTGAGAGAGGGAAAATGTTCCGGGACCAGTTCGTTCAAGGAGAGCACATGCTGGCATCTCAGAACAAAAAGAAATTCCAGTCATTGCCTCGAGTTCTTTCTCCCGAGAGCCTGAGTTTCACAGAAATTTCTGTTCCACTACACAATGAGCACTTAACAGGTGTCCCCAAAGTGCCATCATACCCTCCCAGCTGCCCACCACCTTTGGAACCCACAAGGAACCTTGAGAAGGCGAGTTCCTCAGGCCCTTTTCCCCGACCTAAGTTTGGAAAACCCCTTAAAACTCCTTGTTATGGCTCTCACCCACAGCCCAGGGGAGAAGATGGATTTCAGGACCAGCAACACAGGGACCCACGTGGTTCCTACCCAACAAGAAGGAGGGGTTCCAGGCATGAGCTGGGTATGCTGGACACTGGCTTAGAGCCTCCAGTGTATGTGCCTCCACCATCATACAGGTCACCCCCGCAGCATATTCCAAACCCCTACCTTGAAGATCCTGTGCCCAGGCATGTGAACAGCAGCCAGAGTCAACAGCAGCAACTCCCTGAGAAAGCTGAGGCCAACTGTCCAGTTCCTTCTGGCTCTCTTGCAGCTAGGAACCTCTATGATGCAACACCTGGCTGTCCTCCTCCAGGTCTTCCTCCACACCCCTATCGTGTTGCCACCCATGGGGATTCTGTTCAGTACATTCCATTTGACGATCCACGGATTCGACATATCAAACTAGCTCAGCCCACAGAATTCTATGAGGAGGCAAAGCTTGATGACAGAGCCTATAACACTGGTATCACTACCCAGGAACCAGCTCTTGGGAAAAGACAGTATGATGGTGCCCTTTTATCACCACAGGGTCCAGCACTCCCATCAGGCAATGAACAGGGCTCAGCCTTTGCCCATTCAAGTCCCCGGTGGCTGCGGCGCCATATTCCCATGGACACTGAACATGGAGTCTTCTCTGGCCAAATAGAACAGCATGTCATGAGAGGACTAGGAACTGAAGTAAGAGACAGCCAGGCAGAAAGCCATGCCTCTTCCCCGCAGTCACAGAGTGAGGGTACCTGTAAAACCTACACTAAGCTCAAAAAGTTTGAAACTGGGATTCAGACCAAGAAAAGTTCAAAGAAGAAAACCAATGCCACCATATTTTGTTTGGTTTCTGTCCCGGTTAAATCTGAGTCACTTCTGTCAGATACGGATACGAACAACAATGACTTAAAGCTGGAAGCTGATAAGACACATGGGCTGTGTCAGGGTACAGCTCTGGAAGAACAAAGTCTGCTGAGCATGTCTTCCACTGACCTGGAGCTGCAAGCCCTCATGGGAAGCATGGCTTGGAGAAGGACACCCCCAAGTCAAGGTCTGGAGGAGCCAGAAGACAGCCAAACTGGTGACCTCACAGTCCCCCACCTCACCAAACCCAGGGAGCTCCAGCCTTCTGGCTCATGGACAGGCCACCAGTACAGAGATCAGCAGACCCAAACCAGTTTCCCTGAAGACTCCAAAAGCTCGCATCTGTCCCTTGACACAAAGCCAGAAGGGTCCAGCAACGCAGCACTGACCCCAACATGCCCAGAGCCCACTGCCTCTGAAGCACACATGCATGCAGACTTAGCATCCAGGGACCAAAATCAGAAGCCCAGTGTACCTCACCTCAGAGGGCAAATGTCCCTCAGCCCATCTCAAAACAGTGCTTTCTCAAGGACCTCCTCAGCCATAAGCCAGGCATCTATGCCAAAAGGGGCCCCTGGTCAGCCCCCTAGGGCCAGCCCTGTACCCAAGCCAGAGGTGGTGAAGGGGGAGTCTATAGCAGGCCAATGCAACAGCACACAACTCTTTGGTCAGTTTCTCTTGAAACCAGTTAGCCGCCGGCCCTGGGATCTGATAAGTCAGTTAGAAAGTTTTAACAAGGAGCTGCAGGAGGAGGAAGAAAGCCATGGCGCTAGCGGTGGGGGCAGTAATGAGAGCAAGGAGGCAGAACAGCCACAGGACTGTACTGATTCCAGAGCCACGAGCAGGGGCCACCATGAAACCAGCCAGAAAAGGAGAGCAGAGCAGCAGCCTGCCATCCTGGTACCAGAGGATTCAGGGTTCCGGCAAGATAGACTTAAGGATGAGTTGGAGAATTGGAGTGAGGAACCAAAACCTGGCTATGCAGGTGCCCATCCTCAGTCCCTGGGCCAGTCACAGGAGGAAGACAGCAGAGGCGTTCTTGTCCAGCAGACAGATGGAAGACTGGTTGTGGAGCAGCAAAGTCAGGAGGTTCCTAATGGGGTGTGTGAGCGGGACATCAGCATAAGTCCTCGGAGCAGGATGGCTGCCAATGACACAAAAGCAGCCCCTTTTTTCTACCTGGCAGAACTGAAAGGAAGTCAAGAACTCACCAAAGTCAACCAGGCTCTAGCCTCTGTGCAGCTGGGCAGAGAGAGCCCTCCAAAGGTGGAGAGTGGTGAGGAAAGAGACACAGAGGTCCTACTGCCTCTTGCTGACAAATACCGAGGCCTCTCAACACCAGACTTGCGGTCTTTGGGGCTCACACTGGGACAAGAACAGAGTGCCTATAAATCGGAGCCCTTGGGTATAGAGAATGCAGTGGAAGTCCTCTCAAGTGAGTCTCTGCAGGAGAGGGCAGAGAGGATCCTGGGCATTGAGGTGGCTGTGGAGTCCCTCCTGCCAGGTGCCAAGAAAGGAGGACAGAGCCATCTCCCTGAGCCTGATGCAAGTGCCTGCAGCTCAGTGTCATCCAGAAAGGACTCATGGCCCAGCTTAGCACCATCAGGGGGCCCCACAGTGACTGCTGATGCCTTCTATGGCAGGAGAAAGTGCGGCTGGACTGCGAGTCCTCTCTTTGTAGGGGAAAGGGCCCCCCAGGCTTCTGTGTGCTCAGATGTGGATGGGCTCCCTGCAAGTCAGGCCACCAGTCCTGAGCCTGACACAAAGGATGAAGAGGCAAAGCCACCCTTCAAGTCCACTCTGTTCCACTGCATGGAAAAGACTACAAACGTCACAGGCTCTGAAAAGAGGCTCAGAAGCCCTTCCAAAGTGATTGAGAGTTTACAGGAAAAACTGGTATCGCCCCCAAGGAGGACGAACTCATATCGCCTGGTAAGAATGAGGGAGATCAACTCCTTGTCTCGGATGAGGTGTCTGAGCTCCAACAGTGCCAACTCCACGGAGGAGCCTGACCACCTAAAGGCCACCAAGAGTCAAGCCTGGAAAGTAGGTCGTCTGTCCTCTGTCTCTCAGGATGCCGTCCCTCAAGAAGAAAATGGGCATCTGGAAGTGCCAAGGAGGAAGCTGTCTGATCAGAGCTTGTGGTGTGCAGGTGAGGAGTTGGGCTGGAGGGCGGGGTACGGTGCTCATTTGGAGCCATGCGGCCAGCAGAAGCATGACTAGTTGCCGAGTATCCTAAACTCAACGCTGGCAATAGTTCCATAGAAAGATCCTTTGTGCAGGTGTGCTGGCACACTCTTGCAGTCCCAGCACTTAGGAGGCTGATGTGGGAAGAACTTGATGGCCAGCCAGGTGGTGGTGGCACATGCCTTTAATCCCAGAACTCAGGAGGCAGAGGCAAGTGGATCTCTGTGAGTTCAAGGCCACCCTGCTGTACAGAGTGAGTACCAGAACAGCCTTCAAAGCTACACAGAGAAATCCTCCCTGTCTTGAAAAAAAAAAAAGAGAGAAAGAAAGGAAAGAAGGAAAGAGAAAGAAATAAAGGGAAGGAAGGAAAGATGTGTTGCTGTACAAGCTTGGCAACTGAGCTCTAGATCTCCATCTAAGACCCTGGTAACAGTCACAGGAGAGAACCCAGTTCACAGAGTCATGGACTTCCACATGTGTGCAAGAATAATGAGTACATTTAAAAATAAACAGACTCACTTAGAATTACCCAGAAGCTTTCTCAATTAAGAATCAAGATCTTGTCCTGTATTTTGAATAATTATATTATTGTTTTAGTTGTCTAAGAAAACAGCACATAAAATTGTCCTTGTAAACAACTCTGAATGTGCTGCCAAGGTGGGACATTACACAGAGCACTCCAGCCTGGCTGTGGCAGCTCAGGGCACATGCTGCCAAAATAATAGGTGTGCACCCAGATGATCCTGTTGGCTGCTCTTTGTCAACTGGATATTTTCACTTTTTGCTTTGTTTTGCTTTGTTTTGTTTTGTTTTGTTTTGAGATGAGGTCTGTCTTTGTAGACCAGGCTGGCCTAGGACTCACAAAGATCCATCTGCCTACAGAGGCCAGAAGAGGGCATCAGATCCCCTGAAACTGAAGTGACAGACAGTTGTATAGATATAAAATATACACCCAGGTTTTAAAGTCTCAATACATAAGAACAAGAGATATCTTAATAATTTGACATTGAAATGTTACATGTTGAATGATAACATTCTGAAATGAACAGAATATACTTAGTGAAATAAAGTATATTATTAAAGATAATTTCACCTGTTTTTTATTTGTTTTAATGTAGTTATCAGACATTTTAAAATGGCATTACATGGCTCACACATTTTTGTTGAACCTAGAGTGTCTATGAGCTAAAGAACTTACTGTGTAGTGTTGTCTTCAATGTGCCAGAAACCGAAGGGAGCAATTCAGTACCCAGCACCTGAGTGATTTGAGACTCAGCCACTCCAAGGCCTCTCCCTTATTAGTGTGGCACTTTACCTTATCCTCTATTAGCAACCCCAACTGTGTTCTCAGCACGTGAGAAGACATCTTCACTCACAAGAGCTCTGAAAATCAGCATACCTCGAACCCCAAATATAGCACTGAGCTCCCACTATCTTCTTGTGTGATCACATGGTGTTGCTACGGGCAGTGTCAAGAAGTGTTAAGTCATGGGAACTCTACTTCCTTTAGCCAGGTGGCCCTGGGGCAGTCCATCACGTGCACAGGCTCAGGCAGCTGCCCTGAGTGCCATTCCTGTACCTCTAGTCTGTAGCACCCGCAGAGTGCTCCCAGCACAGTCTTGGTTTTTGCCATCACAGTGCCTAGCATGCAAGCATGTACCAGTGTGTAGCTTTAGGCTGCAGGGAATGGAATGGAGGCCCTTCATAGGGCATCTTTTTCCAGGTGTGTTTCAGAGCATTGTTTTCTGTACATTTGTACCATCCTGCAGGCTTTTAAAAATCGTCTTCTAGGCTATGGTAAGCCTTGCTGTTACTTTGTCTCTATCTTCATTGAGGTATTGTCATTAAGTGTGTGCATATTTAAAATGCACACTATGTATGAGTGGCCATACATTGTGTGCTAAGTAAGACAATCAAGATGATTAACATACCTGTCATCTAACAGCCTCTTGATGGAGTTCAAGAGCACATGCACTTGGTACTACATCTACCCTGATGTGCTAGCCTCATGGCCCTCATTCATTTTATAGCTCAGTTTTACACTTTCCCAGTATCTCCTCTCTTCCCCAACCCCCAGGTCCTGGAAGCCACCACCCTATTCTCTGTTAACACAGGTGTCACTTAAAAGGAAATCCTACATGTAAGTGACATCATGCAGTGTTGTGCTTTCTCAGCTTAGCACAATGTCTCCAAGGTTTATCATGTGTCATTTTAAGTGACAGAATCCCCCCATTGAGGCTGAATAATATTTGTGTGTATTTATGTATAGACATTTTCTTGTTCCTCTGTTGGCAGACACATGGGTTGTTCCCATGTCTTGACATAAATGTTCCATATAAACAGTACAGTGAGCATGGATGTGCAGCCATGTTGATTTCCTTTCCAGTAGTGAGATTGCTGGATTATGTAGTCATTCTATTTTTGTTTATATTGTTTGAAGAATCTCTATGTTTTAATGGCTATCATGTACTCTTACAGATTTGTTGACCACTTTCTCATAAAAATTTAGGCATGTTAAGGCAGGGAGCTCTGACTATAGTAGGCACACACGTGAGCCTCCAGTGTGCTAGGCCTCTAGAGCTCAGAGGGTGAGAGTCTCCTCTCAGCAATATGCATTTCCCATTCTAGTGGCAGTCGGGTTGCTGCCCCTCAGTATGGTGCTCCATTTGGGAAATCCAGGTCATCGGGGCTCAGCATAAGATTTTCTACTTCAGGCTGTAGAAGGTCATTGTGGTGTGAGAAGGTACTAGAAGGTGTACTGACAGGCAAGCCACCCATCCTGGTCCTGCCTGCTGGCTGGTAAAGCTGGAGACTGGAAAACCTCTTCTTTCTGTTTTTTTTTTTTTTTGACATTTCAGGTTCCCCAAGCCTTAAAGAGAAGAATTAGTTCATAAAGATGCTTTCAAATCCTCTCAAGGAAGGATAGGAACTCAAGGTTCTGAGTTCAAATCTCTTCAACCAAAAGCCAGTTGTAGCAGCATATGTGTAATCTCAATGCTGAGCTAGCCAAGACAGGATTTCTTGGAGATCATTGAACAGCTAGATCAGGCAAATCAGTGAGCTCCAGGTTCAGCAAGAGACCTTACCTCAAAAAGTAAGGTGGTCATGCAGGGAAAGAAAAAAAATCAAGAACAACATGGAAAGCAATTGAGGAAGACATTGAATATCAACCTCTGGTGTCTGAACACACTTGTGTACACACACAGGAACACACACACAGACACACAAAGAGACACAAACACACACACATGTACACACACACACACAAGACAACAAAAAGAATCAGTGTTAGGTCAGGGTGTTGCTGCTGGCTAAGGTCAATGAGTTTGTTATGTATGTTGTACTCTGAGTACCAGGAAGATCAGTATACTGGATCAGCTTTGCTCATCTGCATTTATTTGGTAACAATCATGTACATTTCTTGAAAACAACATGTCAGCCATAGTTTCTTATCCCCTGGTGAAATAAGTTTGCCGAAGTGTCTAAAAATCAGTTCTCTATGCATGTGAGTTTTGTTCTCTAATTTATTTCAATGTGACAGGTGAATGTTCCACTGATCCTCCTTCCTTCTTGTTCCCAGAGTCCTATGATCCCAGCCGAGTGGAGAGGGTATGATGGATGCTGGTGAAGCGTCCCCACCTGTACTAATGGGAGTGTTCTCCGGTGAACTCACATGCCTTGTCCAGGCTGAAGCTGGAAATGGCTGGGTTTTCAGTGTCCTGACTCCTCCTCTGCCCGTCCGTGGGAAATTGGCCATCCCGACAGGATTGTTGTGGCGCTAAAGCAGTGGCGTGCTAACATCATCTGTCTTTAGAGCATGGTTATATAATTCCCATATTTAGAAAAGAGTTTTCACCAGTTCCCCTTCCAGGTGGATTAGGCTGAGCTGGTAAATAGCTTGGTGTTAATCTGTGTTATGTGAAAATTCTAATAGGGAAGATGCAGTGGGTGATTTTGGTTAGGCCATAACATCATCCATTCCCTGAGGTATTTCCCCAGCTCATGCTTAGGAGTGGGACCAGGCCTCCTCTTGGCATTTACAGCTATGGGGAATATGAGTGAGGATGTGCCACCATTTTTACTACTTGACCTTCGGCAGTGTGGGGTAACTTGTAAGTAACTGCTACAGACTTACAGCAGCTTCTTTGTGTTCCCAAGGGTCACACTCACACAGTAACTTACCCAAGAAGCAAACATGCTGCGCTCTGCTTTGCACTCAGTCTTCCCTAGGTTTTACTTTCTGTGTGAATGTTTAGATATTCTTTATATGAAAAATAATTGCTGGTTTAAAATAGACCATGGTAACAAAGTAACTATATTTCTTTTTATAAAATTGCTATTTTTCTATGATGTGTAAACAGTTGTTAGGTGGCAGATTTTTAAGGAAGTGCTATTTTATTTAAGAGTCTATCCCTGTGTGTGTGAGGGACCCAAGAGGGCCCACCTCGGCTCTACAGCCGTCACCCCTGCTCCAACTTCAGCTCTGCTGCTTTTAACTCTGTGTCACAGAGTGTCAATGAAGACCAGTTACAAGTTCATTAACTCTCACAAAGATGTTTTCCTACAGATGGAGCTCTGAGGTTACATTTCAAGACATCCCTCTCAAAATTGGTCATTTTGCAACCATGTCAACTACAATTGCCAAAACTCCATAGTTTTCATCTTGTATTTCTGTGGGGAATCTGCCCCAAGAAGAAACTTTTCTCTTGCCTCCCGTGTTGCTCCTTTGAAGAAAGATATATTTTTGTCTAGAATGATCCTGATGATTAATCTTACACATTCTAAGCAGTGCTTGGGAACAGTACACAGGTGGCGTTGTATGTGTACATACGTTGCGAAGGAAGTCTCAAGAGGCCTATGGTGCTACTCCTGCATTTGCCTGTATAGTTTATGCACTTCTGGCAATTCATCATTCTGTCTGAGGAAGGTATCCTTGCTACCTAACATTTTCCAAAATGTTTGTGCCCTTTTTTCCCTTTCCTACCTCCCCCTTCTTTTTTTGTTTCCTCTTGCTCTCCTTTTGAGACATTTAGTTAATCTATTTTCAGACCCGTCAGATTTCTTCAGTGTAAGTCCATAGCTGGTCTGCCCTCTGGCCCTAAGACAGACTTTTATGGCCTCTTATCTACACATATGCACAATCTTATTTTATTTCCCAAGAACCTCACATGTTGTGACTGAACCACACAGAACAGAACCCAAGCACACGCCTTCCCAGATGTCCACGCCTGCAGTTTTGCTTTGTGCCTGTCCCTCATGCTCATCTTCGTCCCAAGCGTGGCTCTCATGGAGAGAGGCAGGGGATGTAGGTCTCCCTGGGGCAGTGGGCAAGCAGGTTGGTAATCTGCAGTGGTGGCTGAATCATCTGCTAGGGCCAAGTGAAGGTTGAGCCACCTGCTGGACTCTGTGGGGCTGCCCATCCCTCCTTAAAATAAAGCAAAGGCAGCCCTGTGCATGTGTCCATATGTGCAGACACACTGACTTCCTGTCTCATGACCTGACACATCCAAAGACTGTTTAAGAGAAAGAAGGATCCTGAAGGAAAGCTGTTGTGCCTTATGTATCTCAGTCTGGAATGGGCTGCTCTTCCATTTTGTTTGAAATCATATCATGCTTCCCTGCAGCCATTCAGTCAAAATAGCAAATATTTATACTTTAACCTTAATTTTTCCAGATTCAAGCTCATATGCAAATCTTTTGGAAGGAAGCGGTAACATTGAATTTAGTAACTTGAAAATTTGATCTTTAACTTTTCATACCCAAGGTGATATATATCTGACCAAAAATTGTCTTGGTGGGGTCTTGAGTTCAATACTAACCATCATTTCCTATGTAAATTTTACACTTTCCCATGACTGTTGGTAGAAAAAGTTTTCTATATTTTGTGTTTGTCAATTGTTTTTCTCATTACACATGTTAGCATTCAATAATTTGGAGCTTGTAGAATTAAAAGTTATAATTTTGACCATTTGAACTAAAAATTCTAGGAGAAATTGTACTTATGTTGTTTCTGAAATTGCAGAATGGAGGGGGAAATGGTGGTTTGGGGGCTCTTCGGGGAAATTTTTCTGAAGGATTGAAGATGATGTATCGTTTATCATATTCAATTGTGTTTCTTTAAGCCCTGGAGACCCCGTAAAGATGCATCTGGCCCCCGGATAAGACCATCACAATGATATCCATAATTATAAACATTTATTTCCTTTATTAATAAAAGACCCTGAATCATCTTTGGTATTGTGGCTCCCTTACTGAGACAGTAGATGCGGGTTCTGGTTGAGTTGACAGCCACAGGAAGATTGCTGACCATTAAGGCATATGTCATCATGTGGCACCCAAAGAGTTTGTCTGCCCAATTTGACTTGTTATTGCTTGTTTGAAATGCTTAGATAATAAATACACCATTGTCGGCCCAACACCTCCTCCAAAGTGACCAGGGCAGTAGAAGTCTTGAGAGCAGTTGTGAGTGTTGGGGATCATCGTCTGCGGTGGGATTGGCTGTGCTAGGGCAGCTGAAGTCAGGGTGAGGTGAAGTAGTGCTAAAGCTGTTACAGGCAGGGGTTCGTTTCCTTTCTGCTTTGTTTTCGACTGCACATTTTGTACATCTGTGAGTGGGAGGAGAATTGTCACTCAGGGCAGGATCTAAGAGACACATTCCAAGTGGCCTTTGAAGAGCCTGAATGGTGGGAGGTCCTTGTCCCAGAACGTGGGTTGGTTCACTCTGTGACCCTCAATTGGAAGAAGGGGGAAATGATTAAAAACCACCATAGAGAGACTGGTCCCCAGCCTGTATGTTTTGTTAAAAAGAAGAATGGTGAGGTCAAGTCTATAAATTCAGACCGCAGCCCCTTGAAAAGGTCCCTGTGGTCTGAGCGCCTGCTCAGAACAATCCAGGCTTCAGCAGCATTGTGGGAGGTAGCCCGGATTCCTGCCTGTTGGTGGCCTTGACTTGGAGAGCCTCTCTGTCTCAACTGGGATTGTTAATGTAACAGAGGCCAGGGAGGGGCTTGCGAGGGTACAGATAGCCCAGTCTACCGTCTATCTGTAAGCCTCACAGGACAGCCATTCTGCTGCTGCTCCTCTCCTACGGCTGCCTCCCTGGAGCCTCACCTCACAGCAGAGCCCAGGTGTGTGACACTGAGCAAGAGGGAGACCCAGGCAAGTTCAGGGCGAGAAGCAGAACTCAGCAATGAAAACCATGTGTCAGAGTCAGGGAAAACTGACCCCTGTCCAGATGGTAAAAATCAGCTAAGTCCTTATCATCGGGGTTAGCTGCCACTCCAGTCCCCCCTGAGTCAAACAAGCTGAGCATGCCCAAAACCATAAAATGCAGTAAGGATAAGGCCCTGGGACCCAGAGGAACCTATGTCTGCTCATTCTTTTGCCCAGCACTCAGGGCAAGTGGAAAGGGTTCTGAAGACAGCCCTGTGGTGTCACCCTCCTGGTAGGGCAGTCCAGGAGAACCTTGGGACAGGGAATAATCACAGGGAGCACGGCAAAGCACAGCTCAGCAGCAGGTGGGATGGCAGGGTGGGGGCCTCTACTGTCTCAGTGTGGCCAACCTGCTCTGAATCTGTGCTCCGGATAACTTTCACAAAACTGCCTGTGTTTGCCGTCTAACTGTGACACAGAAACCGCATAGATGCCAAGTGCAGTGGCCCAGCGTGTGGGTATTGCAGGGACAGTTGGCATAGCATCCTCACTCTCCACCAGAACTCACAGGGTTGAAGGTCCTTCCCCCACAGAAACTCATTGATGCAGTGACCTATGGTCCATTCCGAGGGCTAGGTACCAATTTCTAGTCCCTCATGAACCACTTATCTGCCTCTCTTGCTAGGATAAATGCATCTGCCATGCACAAATGGCCCTGGCATGAGTGGGTAGCCAAAGCATGGAGACCGTAGCCAAGCTTGATACTGTGGAGGAAGTTCTGTTAGGGTATTTTGCAGGCTTTAGGTTGGGTCCCTTGTATTTCAGGATTCTGCCTGTCCAGCATGCCTGTTCTGTAAGCAGATAGAGGTTCCATGTCCCATCATGCTCTTGTCTTGTTGCTGCGAGGTAGACTAATTGTAAACCAAGCTGCTGTTCCTGGGTTTTCAAAAATGGGGACCAGCAAGATGGCTCTGTGGGTAACGGTGCTTGGCAATAAGCCTGGGACCAACATGGTGGAAGGAGAGAACTGACTCATGCGAGTTGTCCTCTGACCTCCACATGTGTGCTGTGGGACACACAACACAAATCAATACAATGGCCCAGGGAGATGAGTCCACATAAAGGTTCTTGCCTCCAAGCTTGGTGACCTGAGATCAGTTCCTGGGACCCTTGTAGTGTGCCTACACACACACACACACACACACACACACACACACACACACACACACACACACACACACTAACAATTCCAGAAAGAAATGTGTCCTTCCTTCCAGCTGGAGCTTCTCTTTCCCATTGGCTTTTTCAGGCCGGTTCCCTCTCTGCCTAGCTGCCACGTATGTGTGGCTCAGGCTCGCTGGGGACCTTGGAGGCCATCCAAAACTTCAGTTCACCTTAAGTTTCAAAGCAAGGACTTTCCCTCACTTGGTTGATAATTTAATTCACAGGTTAAGGTACAAATGAAAAGTTCCCTGACCAAAGCAACACTGAAAAATGAAACACAACCAACCCCTAGGACTGATGGTCCCACCCTAGGCCTGTCTCTGCTATTAACCAGCCTTGAACCTGGCCACCCACCCTGGAATGGGAGAAGGGGATTGAACTTTCTATGGTTCTTTCCAGCTCTGGGATTGGGTGACTAGTTTTTGGCAGACCTGGAATTCATAGGAATCCTTACCCAGCCAGAGGAGCAGGAAGTAGACGAACTTGTGGCTGTGTGGGTCTGACCTGAGCACGGGAGCCCTGCTGTTGTTACCTCAACCAGGGTGGTCCTTTTCCCACTTCTCTTGCTTCCCTGCAACTCTGTATCCACTCAGGGCTGGTGGTATTGGATCCTGGGGCACGACAAGGGCTGTTAATGGCTGCAGCCCACAGCCCTGCAGTCAGCCTTCCCTGTGGATGGCCTTTCCTGGAGTGTGGGGTGTGAGGTCTTCCCATGCTCTCAGGTGCGGATTGCTCCCATCAGGCTCGCTTAGACCCCACGTGTGGCCTCTTTTCTGGGTGTTCAGCCAATAGCCTGCATGCTGTAAACATTGTCATTGGCAGGGATCTGCAGGCAGCATTCCATGGGGATCGGTGCTGGTACGTGGGTTCAGCGGCCTCTGGTTTGGTTTCAGTAGGAGAGCCCAGTTGTCGTCTGAGTTTAAAGAGAGTCCAAGCACTCTCCATTTGCTGTTTCTTTTCTTCACTGCCTCTGCCCTGTGTTTCCTACAGCTTTGACTGCTAATGTTTTTACCCAGCTCCATCCTACTGGAATATTCTGAGCTTAGGATAGCAGGGTCAGTTTGTGTAGAGATACTGTGCCTTTATTTATCTGGCATTTGTTTGGGGTACTTCAAACACAACGTGAAAACAAGGAAACAAACACTAGCAATTCCTTACTGCGTGCCACACATATCATATGTGTTGACTAGTCTAATGGGACACCAAGTGGACTCAGGGTGAGCAGCTGCTATTGACACATTGCTTGCAGCAACACAAAGCTCCAAACCTGTTTCTGTAACCAAGTGCATGCTGGTCATCTTAGCTTCCTGCACCCTAAGAAGATAAGAGAACTGGTATTTAATTAGAAAACACAAAGGCAGAGTTCTTAAAATACTGCATATTTGTGAAGATCTGGTACAGTTATCCATGCCAGCGCTGCACTCAGCAGCGGCTTAAACAAGATGGGAGCTTATTTTTATCACAATTTGAAGGGACTTAGAAGTTGGCAGTCCAGGCCTGGCATGTTGGTTCAAACGCAATTCTGTTCCAGAATCCTCATACAGTAGCTTCCATCCTAAAGGAATCTCATGGACCAAGAAGCCTATTGGAGTGCCAGCTATCACCAATACTTCCTAGATGGCCATTGAGAAAAATCTCCCCCCAGATGGATTAATTCCTTTTGAAGGGTTTTCCAGGAAGTCCTATATTTCTAAGCCCATATTCCATTTCCAAGAAGTTAAATGGTCAAACTAGCTTCAAGGAAGTCCAGGGACTATTACCTGTGTAACTGGGCACCACTGGGGATAGTCAGTGTTCTTAAAGAAGACAGTGGCCATGGGTATTGCCTGGTATCCAGCAGATTTGGCATTCTTTCTCTGGGCCAGATAGATAGACACTGGTCAGTCAGTCAAGGGCTGAGGAGCATGTGTGTGCCAGATTCTGGGGAAAGTTGTTGAGACATGACTGTCCTACCCAGGCACACTGGAGATCCATCTCATTGAAAACGGAGCATTCTCAGAGACCAGGGCACTTTCACTGGAGCCAAGGACAAGCCATGGGTGAAAGGGCCAACTCTGACGACCTGCCCTGCAGTCTGCAGGGATGGTGGGACACAGACACAGACCACTGGACACATGTGGACTGGGTGGGTTGGCCAGAGAAGGAACTCAGGGCTGGAGAAAACCAGCAGAGCTCACACAGCCCAATACACTGGTTTTTCTTTGGACCTCCAGCTCACAAATAAGGACACAGAGACTTATTATTGATTATGAAAGCTCGGCCTTAGCTTAGACTTGTTCCTAACTAGTTCCTATAACTTAAATTAACCCATCTCTTTTAATCTACATTCTTTTATGTGGCTCGGTTACCTTTACTCTGTACTGCCCACCCCTGCTTTCTCTGTGTCTGACTGGTGACTCTGCTGGAAGTCCCGCCTATTTCTCCTGCCTACCTATTGGTCATTCAGCTTTTTATTACACCAATCACAGCAATACATCTTCACGATGTACAAATTCCCCGCAACACAGCCCCCTTACCCATCCGCTCCCTGAAGGCCCAGACCCCTTTTCCTTGGGATACTGCTGAGTCAGCAGGAGGCTGCAGGAGTCCTTGCTCCTACAGTAGTGACAGGATTCTTTCAGTGTGGGGTGATGCTTTTTAATCCAATTAGAGGCGAAACCTAATGTTAGTTTACATGTCTTCCCTGAGACCCTTAAGTCTATGTAAATCTTTGATAACAGATTATCTTCAGAATTTTTAGGAAGTAAGAAGGTCAAGAGAAAAAAAATCACTATTTAGGCCAGGCTGGCCTTGAACTCGTGCTCTTCCCACCTCAGCTCCTGAGCTAGGATTGCAGATGTGTACCACCAAGCCC